TTATAAGCCATTGTTGTATTTTTGATGGATGTTAATTTTTAAGTGGTAGTTTAGAAATTAAAGAATAATTGTCGTTCATAATTTCATTTTCTTCATAGTAATTTCTTTTCTTTTTTTTAACAGTTGCACATATCATTATTCGTTAGATTAGCTGGTGATGAGACGTATTTTTTAAGTCTCTTGATAGTGGATTAATAGAGTTGATTGTTGAATTACTTTAAGAGCCGATTTTTGATAATTTGTTTTTTCAAAAAGTCAGCCCTTTTTTCGCGAATTTTGAACGAATATCGGTTGATTTTCAGTTAAAAAGGTATTATACATGGTTTCTTAAATTAGAATAGCATCGTATCTATTTGAATGTAGCTTGAGGCCTCTTATCGAAGAAAAAAGTAAAGAAAATTGCCTGTAAATAATTTTTTCAAGGACGAATCTTTTTAACGATTTTATTTGTAGTGAGAGAGCATTTTAATTAAAGAATATGATTTGAAATTTGAAATAAAGTGCGATTAGAGGCAATCAAGCTTGTCCAATTGATTTGTTGCTTCTTTTTTTATCATTTAATCACATCACTTTATTTAAATAATATTTATCAGCTAAATAATAATATTTAATAATAATATTTTTTTTTTTGCTTCGCCAATGATTTTTTTTTTTCTAAATTTATTCCAATCACTAATCGAACATAAGGAGAACATTTTTGAAATTTATTATCATAAAGAAAACTGGCTGCTGCCACTTCTGTTGGAATCCACCAGTAGCAGTACATTTCAGTTAGGCTTGCTGCACTGGTTGTTGGTGCACTGAAATAATTTTGCTAAGAAATCACTTGGGTATAGTGAGTATACGTGAGGCGGCTGCTATGCAATACGCTCGAATTTTTAAATGATGGGTTTATTCTTACCAGCGACTTAATCGAAATCTAATTAACAATCATTCGATCATTGTTCTCATAAAACATAAGAAATCGACCGCACATTGTAGTATTATATTGATGAATTGCCTGAAATTGCCTCATTTAAAGAAATTTCTGATATATTGATTTTTTGGGAAAATCATTCTGGATTTCGCATCGCAGTGAATGGTAATTGTGCAGGAATAGTTTAAAAAAGTTAGATTAGTTTTGCTAAATGAATTTAGTCTAAAGAATATGCTTTATCTCTTTTTAATCCGTCTTGAATGATCTCTTTTCTCCACATTTTTATTGTTTAGTTTTCCAGTATATATATATTTTTTTTTTATTAATGATATTTCTTTATTTTATTAAAAGGGAAAATTCTTTTTCCATTTTTATTAAAAGGGAAAATTTTATTAATATTAAGAAATATTTTCATAAAACTGATACAAATTTTTTTATATTGTTATTTTTAATATAATATTTTTAATATTTTTTTAAGATTTGAAATTTCAACAATAAATATCAAATAAATCAAATAAATATAAAAAAAGCAGTGAAATGAAAAATTTCTCGAATGAAACTAAAAAAAAAGAATTTTTCTTATGCAAATAGACATTTTACGAAAACGTGATAAATTGCAATCTTGATTTTTAACTTGAACTATTTATGAAAATTTCTTCTTCACATCTCTCTTGTCGACAATATTTTTTTGTCCATCGATACGAAGAAGAAGAAAACAATCCAATAAATTTGTGAACAAAATTTCATCGGTTCTAATAGAAAAAATTATACAAGAATTTAAGAAAAATATATTTCATTGTTTAAATGGAATGCACGATGAATTACTGCTATCTGTCGATATTTTTCACTACTTATATAAATAAACAAGTTGGTATTTGTTTTTATGATTTGGTCTTCTTCAAACGTCTCGCAAAGTTATTGGTTAAGGTTGGCTGGATTGTGGTTTCCAAGCAGCTCGCTCTGATCCTTCAGATGCGATGATAATATCGAAGAAACAATCTTTATTTCTGTTCTTGATAAGCAGATTAGATTCGATTGCTGGCAGAACTCTTGACGCCTTCGGAGTTGTTTTCTCTCCTCTATTCTAGAGTGGTCTTCATGCGACAAAAAGTTCTCATCATGATCTCTAATAGTAGCCGAGCAAGAAATAGTATTTGCTATTAGAAAAAGGAAAAGATTTGATGAGATTTTATTGGAAAAGAGTACTTTTAATGCTTGCGAACTTTATAGTAGTCAAAGGAATGAAATTAATGTTAAGCCTTTTAATCTGTTTGAGATAATCTATTAGTAAACTATGAATATTTATTAATTTTACAAATTCAGCAGCAATTTGCTGCTTGCTATTCAATAATTTTTCTTTTTGTCTTAGATTTTTCTTTCTCAATTTTTTGGTATTTTCCTAAATATAAATTTAAAATTTTTCTCGCAGAGTCGTTTATTGATGCGGTTAAAATGGTAAGCAAGATGTAAGAATTGTTCTCCATCTCCATCTTTTTAACTATTATAATTAAAAGTACGATTTGTGCAATTGATCGCTTAGAAATTGCAACGAACCCAGCAAGAGACTCAAATTTAGAGACTCAATTAGTTAGTGAAATTTTTTACGTCAATATTCATGAATATAATGAAATTCATCGCAAACATCGGCGGTTATAACGGCGGTTTTTTTATGAAATTATATCGGCAATAATGATCCTTAGTCATGAAACATTTGGCTAACCTTGACAAATTCCTCTCCAATTTACCGTTTTCAATTTGTCTGTTTGTTTGATAAAGAAGGAACGCTTTATATTGATGTGTAGTAGTCTGTCTGATTGATGACTATCCATTTTTTAATTTCGTTTCGTGTCGAGGTTTTTGTGATTCTTCTAGAATATTTGCACGAATATATTACTATTTTTTAAATATATGAATATAGAAATAAGAATATAGCAAAAATAAAGCCATCGATTTCGTCATCAATTTTCAATATTTCAATTTGATTAAATTATTTTATAATTATTGAAAATATTTTCCCTTTGCTTATCTTTTATTTTTTCTTTTTTATCACTCTTATACTTTATGTTTTTTTTCGGGATTATATATTTATATTTTTATGAATTTAAATTTATTTAAGTGAATATTTATTGTTTTAAAAAAGAGCTTTTTCTAGTTATATATTATTAAAAACGGAATAGTTGAGATAGAATGGTTGAGTGGATTGTTGCTAAATTTGGAGCACCGATGCCGAGATTCGATTCTTCGCAGGAGTAAACCTGTCAAAAATCCGGATGCTGGCGATCCACCTGTATTTTTATCGCCAAGGGGACTTCCTGGCATATTCGTCCAATGTGACAATCCTTTGGAGCGAGTTTGACCAGTGATGATGAGGGCTCTTTAAAAAAAAATTGGATAAATTGGATAATAAATTTTTTTACTTTTTATTAGATTTTTTTTTGAGAAGAACTTTTATTCATTTATATTTTTATTTTTTATTGTAATTTTATTTATATTTTGCCATATTTTATAAATTTCTATTGCTATTTTTAAATTTTATTGATCTGAAATAAAAATAGAATCATTATATAGAATCATTAAATACATAGAGTGCGTGAACTATATCTGATCTACTGCCTAAGGAATTTTTCTAAAAATTTTAGAAATTCTAAAAAGTCATCGTTTTTTTTCTTTAAAAAATAGAGGAGCTTCGAAATTTGGTATTCAGAATCAGAATAAACAAAAGTTTTATTTTTATTTTCGAATATTGATTATGATATTAACAGATATTATTATTTAAAAATTTATTTATTAAATGGGAAATAAGCAAATCGGAAGGGAATTTAAGAGTTTTATTGATGCAATAAATCATTATTTTACTCTCTTTTCTCTTTTCTTTTAGAAATTTAGCAAAATTTTTAACTTTCAAATATATTTTATTCATTAAAATAGTTTTTATTTAGTTAGATTTTAATTAACCATCATAATAATTGAATATTTAAGTTAATTGCAAAGCTTTGTTAATTGCAAAGCTTTTTTAGTTAATATTTTCCCGATATATGAATCAATCAAGCCTTATTTATGAATAAAATTATATTAAAATTATATATATATTTTTTGATTCATTTGTTTTTTCTTTTCGATTTGATTTTGAATTTTATTGTAAAATTTTATTTTTATTAAATTTTTTCAAATTTTTTTATTTTTATTTCACTACTTCTTCTGGAGAATTTATTATCCAAAAAAAGAAAAAATGACGAGAAAAAGTGATAAAAGTGACAAAAAAGATAAAAAGTGTTATATGCAATATGCAAATACTAATGGTAACATATTTGTTTGTAATTGAATTGTTTGTAATTGTTTGTAATTGAACAGAAGCATTATTAATAGGAATATTTTGCATTTGAAATATTATTTATACCATTTTTTTATTCTTTTGTATCATTTAATTTATATTTTTATATTTTTAATATTATATATTTATATAATATAAATTTTTAAATTTATATTAAATTTTTTTAAAAAGCGGAAAAAAATAAAAATTTAAATACAAAGAAATTCATTCGCTACAAAATTTTAAAATCTTCGATTCATAAGATCTGTGAATTTTAAATTTTATTTCATGGTTTTTTTCTTAAATATTTCACGGAATAATTGTATAAATTGTGTGAAAAATTAAAAAATTAAAATGGGGCACTACGCTCGAATACGTATCGTCTAGACAGTTATTTCAAAGCATCTTCCTTATTTCCTTACCCTTGTTTCCTTACTCTTGGGGCTCTGCTAGTCTCCTCGATTGACTCTCTTCCAAAATTCTCTCATACAGCCAATCTGCAGTGGAGTTAGTTCAACCGGAAATGTGGCAAATTAACCTTATTGTTAACACCTGCTTATTGATTTTGTTTTTATTACCTTTTTTTTCATACTTATTAGTCAATTATTTATCTCGGCTATGCGATATTTCTTTTTTTTTGGGTCATTTTGCACAAATGTGATTTTTTAAAATAATTTATTTGTAGGAGAGAAGGCAGGTTTGGCCGAAACGGAGGAAAACGATTATTTATAACAATAATTATAATTATAAGATAGCCTAATAGGCCGTATTGAAATGCCATTTTCTTGTATTCCTCTTTTTGCTTGTAATCGACAAATTGATTTGCTCGATCGACGACAATGCAATCTGCAGGCCGTGCCTAATGATATCGATCGGAATGCACGTACTCTAGAAGAAATTTATTTGGATTGTAATCATATTAAAGATCTCGACAAGGTTATAATTCTAAAGTAGCGAATTGTTAGCGAATATTGCACAATATTTAATTTTAATTTATTTTTTTCCCTTTTTTTCAGCCATTATTTCGATGTCGAAAATTGAAAACATTGAGTGCAAGTGAGAATGAAATAATTCGAGTTCCTCCAGAGATTTCGCACTTAGCGTTTCTGGAAGAACTGAATTTGAAAAGTAATGGTGGGTCTTTTTATTTTTTCTTGTTTATTTTCGATATTTTTTTGGTGTGAAATTCTTCGAAATGTACGTAAGGAAATAAAAATTTTGACGTTTTTTTCAAAATTGCAATTGCAATAACGGTGGTGTATTTGGTGAATGATCGATCTGTTATAGAGCGAAAGGTTAATCTTTGCGTAAACATAACGAAGTTTGTTCAGCTTCCTTATCTAAGCTTATCATATTTTTATTAAATGTATTTGACATTTCAGTATGAAAGAAAAGGTAATAATTTTAGATATATCTGATCTTCCGGAAGAAATCAAAGAATGTGCACGATTAAAAATTCTTGACTTAAGTTCAAATCCAATTACAAGGTTTTTTATTTTTTTTTGATTAGCCTTTTTTTCAGTTATCATTGTGTATAATATTATTTGAGCAAAACTTGATCATATTTTTTATTAAAAGAATTATTAAAAGAAAAAAGAATAGTGCTGTGGATCATTAGATATTATATTTTCAGTTCATGTCTTTATGTCTTTATCATTATATTTTTATATATTTTTTAAAATAAACTGTTAAGGAAGCGAAATTTGTAATTTCCGGATAGCGTATTTCTTTGCGCATTAATTTATGGAAATACTGACAGGCATGATATTATCTTTCTTCTAAAAGACATCTGATATTTGATAATTGTTAATTGAAATATTCTAGGTTGCCAGCGACAATTTCATTATTAACTTCAATGACCCATCTTGGTCTGAACGATATATCGCTAACTCAAATGCCACATGATATTGGACTTTTAAGAAATTTACGTTCGCTAGAAGTTCGAGAAAATTTATTGCGAACAATTCCTAGTTCTATTAGCCAGTTGACTCAATTGCAACGACTTGATCTTGGACATAATGAATTGGATGACCTTGTAGGATGATTTTAAAAAATTTTTTAACACTGTTAAAAAAGTTTGCTCAATAGAGATTTTATCAAACGTTTCAATAATGCAGTTTTTTTCCCTCATACTTTATTTGTTTACAGCCTAGCGAAATTGGTCTTTTAACAAATCTAGAAGAGCTTTACGTTGATCAGAATGATTTGGAGAGTTTACCTGAGTCAATCGTACAATGTCGTTCACTTGAACAACTCGATGTATCGGAAAATAAATTAATGGTTCTTCCCGATGAAATAGGTGATCTCGAACGTTTGAATGATCTCACTATTGCGCAGAATTGCTTACAAATACTTCCCAATTCAATCGGTGTGTTTTTCTTTTTAAAATCCAGGTTTTCCAACTTTCTTCCATCTTTTTTAAAATCATTTAAAAAAGTTACAAAGATTCTTCTATTATTAATAAAAAAGATTAATTATTATTGATAATTAATAATAATTTTTTATTAATTTATTTTATTCTATTTTCCACTTATTCAACCAACATTTTTAAATTTTTTATTCATTTATATAAGCCATATTCGAGATACTTTTTGGAAATATTTTCATTTTCGCGACAGAGTTTACTTGTATTGGAATTAGTTAAATATATTAGTTACTTAAAATGTTTGGAGATTAATTTAATAACGTTAATTTATCCTATTATTTTGCTATCTTACCACTGAGCTGCTTCAGGACGTCTGAAAAAGCTTGCAATTTTAAAAGCTGATCGAAATGCCATAACTCAGCTAACCCCAGCTATTGGTAGCTGCTCATCATTAACTGATGTTTATTTCACAGAAAACTTGCTTGCAGTTAGATTTTTCTATTCATTTAGAAATAAAAATTTATGCTATTAAATCAGAAATTTTTAGAAAAGATATTTTTGTTGTTTCTCTTTGCATTTTTTATACAAACAGTTAAAGTTATTTATCATTTATTTATTATTTAAGGTTCATTTTTTTATTTTATCTGTGGTTAATATTATATTTGATCAACACAAAAATAAATTAAATTATATTTTATATTATTATTTTTTAATTTATATGCTATTTTCTTTTAAATCCTAATAGCTTCTTTTTAGCATTAATTTTATTAATTTATTCAATATCATTTTTTAGGAAATACCAAGCTCAATGGGTAATTTAAAAGCATTACGGACTTTAAATCTCGATAAAAATCAATTGAAAGAATTACCTTCAACTGTAAATTTTATATTTTCTTTGTATATTTCTGATCGATGAAAATGCTTCATTCGAAAATTTCTTTTAAAATATTTTAATTGTTCAAAATTGCATAATGGTTCTAATTGTTTGCAGATTGGAGGATGTATTTCTTTAACGATATTATCGTTGCGTGATAATCTTCTCGAAAAACTTCCTTTGGAAATCGGTCGGCTGGAAAATCTTCGTGTCTTAGATGTCTGCAATAATCGCCTTAATTGTCTTCCGTTTACTATCAATGTTTTATTTAAATTGCAGGCATTGTGGCTATCAGAAAATCAGGTTCATTTTTTTCGAAACTAGTCCATTTATTCTCATAATATGTTCAGTCATATTAACCATCAAAATTATAGTCTCAAGCGATGCTTAAATTGCAAACTGAACAAGATCCACGTACTGGAATAAAAGTTTTAACATGCTATCTCCTTCCGCAAAGTATTTGTGCTCATACAGGTGCATTTTATTCTTATATTCATTTGCTCGTCATTTACATGTTTTGCTGTGGTTTTATTCTGGTATTTTAGGAAGTTAACAAAAATTATGAGGTCTTTTAGAACGTACACCAACGAATCGTTCTTTTATTGGTGGGCCTAAAGTCCATTTCGGAAGCGATTTGGAGGAAACTAAAGAAGAGGAAGAGGGAGAGGCATCGATTGGACAATTCGCACGCCATGATACACCACATCCAAAGCCACATGCACCAAAGTTTAAGAAACAGTCAATCGATGGACATGTTATACACCATGATGAAGATGTTAGCTGTAGTTTTCATCTAGGCAAAATACGAATTTTTCATAAATACTTTTTTGAATGGAATTTTTTTTTGATGATTCACATAGAATTTATTTTTGCAACAATTTATTTTAAGCATTCAAATAAACCTCCTTCAATTACACTGAACTCTGGGCGAAAGCGAAATTCCGATGATAATCGAGCAGCTTCACCGTTAATTGATGCTGCAACTATAAATACGCCTCGTAGTGCCTTAAAACATCCCCCTGCATCACCACCTTCATTGCCTTCATCAGTTGAATTAACCGTATGCTTTTGATTAAATGTGATTATATGTTTAATTTTATTAATATTTTGAAAATATTTTCATACGTCAATCGATTATTTTTATAATTCGTGAATTTTTCGCAGGTAAATAATGCTATAGATCGAAGAAGCGATGTGCATAATATTCCTTCTGTTGGTGTAGAGACATTGCGAGTTAAAATCTGTAGAGATTTGAACGGTGGTCTAGGTCTTTCCATTGCTGGTGGACTGGGATCAACACCTTATAAAGTAACCTATAAATATGATTAATATATTCAATTTTTGTTATTAGCAGGCATAAAACGCGTAAGAATTTAATGACGATTTGAGTGAATTTTTTAAATGAGATTCCAAAGATTTCAGGATGAAGATAATGGTTTATTTGTTTCAAAACTGGCTGAAGGTAGCCCAGCGCAAAAAGCTGGTTTGAAAGTTGGCGATAAAATTTTAAGAGTTAATAATACAGATGTTGTAAACGTGAGACATCAGGTAATTTTTTTTCTCCCTATAATTATTTTTTCATTCATAACTATAGGTTTTTAAATTATTTCTATAACATACTGGTGAACATTTGTTGTAAATGTGATTGTTTATGAATTTTTCTATACTTTTTTCCATGTGTTTGATATATAAATTTTTAACTTTTCTATTTTCTTTTAAATATTTTCATATTAAGGCTCTGAAATTTCAGGTTGCGGTTTCGACCATGAAAGATGCTGGTGATGTTATCGAGTTGACAATTTTGAGGGACTCGCGTAGTACTCCAGCAACTACGGCTGTATACCAGGTTAATGAGGTCACATTGAAATTTTATATATTTCTAAATATTAAATGGATTATATTTTTAAAATATATTCATTTTTTAAATATGTTTTTGTCCACTGTGTTATAGATCCGTTTTTATGGAGATCATTTTATTTTACAAAATTGTTTTAAGGTGACGCCTAACCAAAGTCTGGATACTTCGATTCGATCTGAAACTTCGATATCGTCTACTAAAGAAACGATTTCTACGACCATTAAAAGAGATGCAGAAGGATCACCAGGTTTCGCAGTAGCTGGAGGGAAAGGCATCACTAATAGTGAGACCATAGTAATATCATCAATTACACCCGGTGGTGCCGCTGAGCGCGATGGAAAACTCCGAGTGGGGGATCGCGTATTATCTGTAGGTTTAAAAATTTTACAAAAATTTTTTTGTAATTTTCTGCTTTTTTTTCAGTTGATATCAATTAGTAAGTCGAGATTTATACGAAGATGGGTTTTTAAATGTTTTTTCATTGATTTGTTTTTTCATAGATCAATGGTGTAAATATGCGAGGTGCAAGACATGACCAAGCAGTTGCTTTGCTCACAGGGCACAGTGGCAAAGAAATTTATTTGGTTGTTCAAAGAGACCATAATTATATCAACACTAGTAATTCACCACCCACCGTTTTGCTTCCTTACAGGTTATATATTAATATCTTGATTAGCGTCTAATTAAATTTCAGTCATTGAGCAAAATTTTTTTAGCTGGTCATCTGCAAGTCAGCCTGTTTCGTTGCCAGCAGCATCGCAGCATTCATTTATTACGGGTGATTCTTCATGGGATGGCAAAATAGAGGTAAACTATTTTATTCATTTTTCGAATTATTTTCCAGAATTTTCCAGTATCAGAAATAAATAATGTAAAAAATAAAAGTTTTATTCAAGAAAATTGAACTGACTCGAGATGGTACATCACTGGGACTTTCAATTGTGGGAGGAAGTGATCACTGTTCTCATCCATTCGGTATTAATGATCCTGGTGTGTTTATCTCAAAAATAACTCCAAATTCACCTGCTGCTCGATGTCAGCGATTGCGTGTTGGTGATCGTATTCTCTCCGTGAACGACACTGATATTCGAACTGCTAAACATCAAACTGCAGTCGAGGTATTATTGCTTTTGCAAATTTATTGTTGTGAGAATATATATAAATGGAAAAATATTTTAGGTCTTAAAAAACAGTGAACCATCTGTGCGACTATTAGTGATTCATGAGCCGCAACCTCCTGGCATGAGAGAAGTAATTGTGCGCAGAGGTGCAAGAGAACCATTGGGAATTAGTATCTGTGGTGGTGTTGGAAGTCCTCCATCAAATCCTCTTGATAAAACCGACGAAAGCATTTTTATTGAACAGGTCTTTTTCAAATATTTCAGATATAGATATGTGATATTTTATATATGAATTAATTGCTGATAATTTTTCATTATGATAAAATTTCTTAATAACGAAAAATGGGCGATTTGTCTTCAAGTTCTGGTATATCCCTTGAAATCCCATTCTGTGAATCCTCCTTGGAATTTTACTGCATTGCTCTGTTTTTATCCCGTTTGTCGAATCCCGCTAATTTCTTTGAAGGCTCTCGATTTCTCTTTATACTTTTTCGATAGCCTCAGTCATCATTATTTTATTTTTCATAATTATTCATTAATGTTATTCAATCAAGCTTGGTTTTAGAGATTTAGAGATTTAAATATTTAATAAAATATGAGATTTTCACAAAGTATGCTAGGGTATCAAAGGGTTTTATCACGATTTATTTCTCAGGCAACATAACGGATTTTAGGGGAATATTTGTAAGTTGCAACGATAAAGCTAAAGTTGGCAATGTCTTGGGGGACCGTAGCAAGGTTTGGCGCAGTTAAAATAATATGGAGAGAGTTATTGTCGGATTTTATCAAAAGATTGTTAATTTTAAAATCATTTTATAGATGTTACCAAGGATCATTAACGATGTATAGTGGTTTAACAATATTTTCTAGGGTTCTGGAAAAGTTGTAATTGGCCCCGAGGAAACCAGGATGGTATAGTAAGGTTTTATAGGTGATAATGCGTCTAAAAAAATGTTATTAATTTGAATTTTATTAAAGGGGACGTTTTAAAATGAGAGGTCAGCGGAACGTCAATAAAAGATAAAAAGATATCATGGGTGTTAAAAAAACATTCAATAGGAAATGGGAGGGTGTGGGACTTTTGTAAAGTATGGTAATTTTTTATTCCAGGAAATGGATGTATCCATTTTTATTGGAAGCATATAACTACATACATAAAGCATACAAAAAATAAATGTAGCAAATTCATGAAAAGCGATCTGATTTGGAAATATTATTAAAAAATTATTATTAGAAATAGTTGAAGATTTGCAAGGATACAATCACAATTGAAAGATTGGTCCATTCTGAATTTATTGTTTATTCTTTAAGGTGGAACGAGGAGGTGCAGCAGCCGCTGCATCATTAGTAGCTGGTTTGCGAATTCTTGAAGTAAATGATATATCTCTTCTGGGTTGTTCACAAGAACAAGCTGCTAGAATTATAAGTAAAGCTGGTACTGTGGTCAAACTTTTAGTCTGTGACGCATTCTCGTCGTCTTATTCTGTAAGTTTTATTTTTTTTTAAATTTTATTTTATATGTTTAATTATTTATTCAATTTGTTTTGTAATCTATTCTATCCCGTTTTATAACTGCAGTTTTTTCTTTTTTTTTTTCTGCTTTCGACATTTTTTCACCCTTTTTTTCTTTTTTCTTTCGAATTCCTATTCTTTTGAATTTATGCCCAGAAATTTTTGATCACATTTATTCTTTCCTTTATCTTTCCTTGATCACATTTATTCTTTCACGCGTGCTTTTTTTTGCAGAAACCTATTGTATCTGCTCATACTGATCATACTTCGCGATGCGAGAAACCTGTAGGAAATACAGTAAATGCTGATAAGAATGATATAAATCTTCATCATTCATCGGTGGATTCTTCTAATATCATCAATGCGGGATCAACAAATTCCTTCCCCTCCTTAGCTTCAGCTACATCACATCCTGTAGAATCCTCGCCAACTGTTGATGAAGGACCGCTAGCTGCATCTTCTCCAATACCAGTAGCAAACATTGCTCAATCGGTTAATTCAAGTTTTATTTTGATTTTCCCAACGAAATGTTTTTTTGAAAATTCGTCCAGAAAAAGTAGTGAATTATTAGCTTTTTAATTATCCTGCATGATAAATTATAACAATGAATTCTATCCTGCATGTGCTTTTTATTTTCTTTCAATTTTTCAATTTCTTTTAATTTTAATATAGTTGTTTTAGAAATGTCATCTTTAAATGGCGTGAATTTAAATTAATAGATTTCAGGTGAAAGTTTGTAGATGTCACAGTGATATTTGAGAGGATAGTGGCTGACAATAAGCAATAATTATTCATAGTCAGTATTTATCGGCATCTAATTCAGTAGAGTTTGTAGGTGCATGAATTGCCGTCGGCTTCTAGTGAAGCATCGCTTTCCCAAACTCAAGCTCAATCTATAATTCAAAAGTCAGAACCCCCACCTATCGCGCCAAAACCTCGAAATATTGCGAAACAGGTAAATAAAATAATTGTAACAAGTGAATGGCAGCATGACCCAGTGGTTTGGCTTAATTATCAGTTTAACCATCATGATTTAGTCTCTATCTTCTAATGGGAGTAAACTTAAAATTCAGATCCAGATATTATTGGCCTTCATCTTTTTTCTGGCTCTAGTGAAACCACTTCATATTCAGTAGTGCGTATAGGAGGCTAAATCAAAAATAGTGAGTGCTACAAAAAAAAAGTTATAAATAAATTATAGCTCTTAGAAAATCTCGAATGTTTTGATTTCACTGATTTTTATTTGTTTAGAATGGTGCTTCCGTTCACAACTTATTAAATGCAGGTTTGAGCCATGAAGATGAAACTACTGATTATATGAAGGTTTATTTTTGAAATTTCCGGAGCAATTTTTTGATTCTCTTATGTTTCTTTTGATGAGGTTTCGATTCGCATTATCTATTTAGGCGCCATCACCAACTATCCTAACAACGTATCCCGAAAGATTAGAATTTTCATCTAAATTACGGAAGTTCGAGCATGAAATCGAAGTAAAGAAACCTGCAGGCGTATCCTATATAAAGACGACATTTCCACCAGGTAAAAATTCTTATGTCGGCTAAATTTTTCTAGGCGAATTATAGACAAATTTTAGAATCCTAATCGATGGTGAAGAAAATAATTATCATAATTTCATTGTTTCTTTTTTTATTTTTGATTGAATAAAATTTTTGTTGGAAACTTCCAGCTAAAAAACCATTAATTAGTGAAGACGATGTAAGAAAAATGAAAGAGGAAGAATGCAAAAGAGTTGGTGTGTCAGGAATATCGTTGAGTCCAGCAGATGACGATATTAGTTCATCGTTCGAGCACATTCTAAATAATAGGTATAATAAAAAATTTTCCAATATTTACTTATTCAAATCAGAATTTTCTCTTTGTTTTGTTTTATTGAAATTATTTTCTTCTAAAGGCACAAATACTTCATTGGTTTTCTCCATTGATTGTTGGAGTTAAAGCACTTCGCAACTGCCAAACGGCGGTTTTGGAATTTAGAACATTAATATCTTAGAATTAGAATATGTTTCATAGGAATTTGAATGGCGAATTTAATTTTTAGCGCTGTTCCACGATCTATACCAACTATAGTACGAACAAAAAAAGCTGAAAATCGCATTACTGCGACATCACCATTACCATCTGATTCCGGTGAACCATTGAATCCTGTGGAACAGCGAGCACTTGAACATCAAAAGCGACAGGAGTGGCGGCAAGCTCGGTTAATTCTTTTGCACTATTTTTCAAATGAACCAGAGTATCACTTTTGATTTAATATTTTATTTTTCTTCAGGTATAAATCGCTGGAAGCTGATTCAGCTGCCGCTGAAGAGGTTATGCAACAAGTGCAGAAGATTAATAATGTGCGATTTTTATCTTTTGTAAATTTTTTATTTTCACAACAATTTGAGCGGTTAGCAATCATTTCATTCTATGTGCAATTTTTGTGCAATTTGTGATTAGGGCACATTCTCCATCGTCCACCACAGGAGTCATATTTCGTTATTTGCTAAACAGTGTAATGGCGTCAAAAGCGAGGTGGGCCAATCTAGACCTGGACTGATACAGTGAGAAAAAATTTTGAACGTATAGATCGACCAGCAATATATGGACTTAGACGATGGAAAAAGAAATGGCTTCCATTACTGTCGACGATGGCATCAGTCCTCGTCGCTTGGAAACGTCTTACCCTTGTAGCCGTTGGAGCCAGCCTAACCAGTAATGGTGAGAGCTATTAGGTGAAGAAGAAAAATATGCAATTTGTGTAATCTATTTTAATATGCTTGCAGAGGCTAGCGAATATCAATGAAGAATCAAATTCTGTTTTAATTTCTCCTTTACCAGCGAATGAGAAGATTCTCCAGAATGAGACGTCATTCGAGAGAAATGAATATATCGATCCGATTACTGGTGCGACTACGATTTCCTATATTGAACGAAGTATTACGCAGCGAGAGGTAGAATTTTTGATGCTCTATATCTTTTAATCGAAGAATAGTTTTTTGAAACCTCTCATTAGGTTCACGAAATTGCATAGAAGAGAAGCATTTACGTGCTAGGAAAAAATTTTTATTTTTTCTAGAAATTAGGTTATAAGTTAGATTTTAAAAATCAAATTGCTTTTTTAATATTTATTTATTTTCAGGTTGATATACCAGCTTTATTGAAATCCGATTTCGGATTTGCGGATGAAGCATCAACTCGGTGACGATAAATGGTCATGAGCTTAGAAATCATATTTTGCATGAATGAATGAATTTCGCTAGTTGTTCGGGTTGTTTTAAATAATTCATTCATTGATTCATTTGGAATGCAATTCTATTTTTTTATTTATTTATTGCTTAAAGTATTCACCTGTTTAAAAAAATTTGAATGAATGCGTGCCTAATCATTTTCGCCTTGTAATCTAATTTTTATTTAAATGCCAATCTTATAATTATATATATCTTTTTATATATTTTAAGGTTTCCATATTTCGCAAAGCTTTTCACTATTGCGATTATTTTTGTTGGTCTTTCTCGCTTTTTAGAAGCGACTTTCATTACCTTTTTTGCCGTTTTAAAATTCGAATCAACTGGCGGAATAACTAGTTGATATTATTGCTTATACTTATGAAAGTTCCTCTTAATGAATTCTCTTCCATATTAATGTTTTAATTTCGAGAAATTCTCGAATTTTCTGCTTTTTATTTGGCTTTCACTTAGAATTTTTTTTGGTTTCTTGATATTCTCCTGTTAAGCGCTTTATTTTTGTTGCATCCATGCCATGATTTTCATTTTTTTTTTCCATTAATGGATATTTAGGCAAATGGTTGACTAATAATTCTTCAGCTGATGATCATTGGTCACTGAGATCGTTGGTTCAAAAAAGAGGTCTATTTCGATCATTTTGCGAAAAAAAATGTAATGAAGTAAGCCGTAAGTAAAGTCCAATTAGCTCGGCTTATCTATACCTCTTTTCTTTAGCGAAAGAGATTTATCGTAGAAATCTATGAAACTAGTTAGTTAAATCGCAAATCGGTTCCACTGACAATTTTTGCAGATGTATATTGGCATAAATTTTTATTATAAGGAAATACCGTCGTGGTTGCTTTCGATTATACAAAATTATGATCATCATTGTAATTAACATTCGTCATATATATTTTTATATGTCATAAATTACTAAAGCTGCTAAGTAAGATTATTTGAATTCCGTTGATATTATATATTCGGTACAATGCATTCCTTTATGTTTTTTGGTTATTAATAATATTATTATGAGATCTGTTTGATTTTTTAATTATTATTGTTATTATTATTTTTACTATTATTATTATTAAAATTGATATATTGGATTGGCTTTTTTCTAATTCGGTTTCTTTAATTTGTTAATGTTATAAAAAATATTTTAAAGTAAGTTATTTTAAATCGATTTCTAAATTATTTATCATACTTTGGTGGTAAAAATCAAATCACTGATATAAACTCCATTTAAATAATAATGGTATGAGTCTCGATAAATTTTTTTATTTGCTTTTCTTATCTTATTGAAATGTTTTGCATTCGAATAAATATATATGTATATATATCTTTCATAAAATATTTTACGATTAGCAGTTGAAAAAAATAGTCCGATTAAATAGATATATTCGAGCATTTCTTATTAGAATTAATTCTATTGGAATTAATAGAAGTCGGAAAAATCGCAGTCTTTTCAGCTTTTTTATTTCATTTCCTATTTCACTGTATTATTATTTTTGCTACCTTTGCTACTTTTGTTTATAGGCCTATGCAAAGCATCAAATACGAATGGAGAAATCGACAAAGCAAAGAGAAAATTGATTATTGGTTAGTCGAGTTGGCTAGAAGTGCTTATTATTTTTTACTTATAAGTTCGCATTATCTATCATCGTAAATTTGCGTAAATTTACGTAAATTTCGTGAATTTATATTTTTTGCAGTTAAAATTAGGAAAAAATTGGATTGATTCGAGAAAAATGAACCGATAGATTTAAATTTCGTTTATGTCGTTTATCTTTTTTGTATATTCATTGATGAATGCATTCTTTGTTTGCAATTAAAATTCGCAAAATTTATTGTTTTTTTATTAAATTTGAAGTTCTTTTTTCTTTGTTTTGACTTTTTTCATTTATTTTAATTTTTTATTCTTTTCAAATATTGTTTATTTTTTATTTGTTTAGATTAAATTTATTTAGCGAATCATTTCGTTGTTTTTTTTTTTTGCATATTTATGAAAAAACAACCAAATTAATATAAATCGTATTTTATTTAAAGTATTTTTTACTTTTGAATTATGAATATTTTAAATATTTTAATGGATTTTTCCGAAATATTTTTTCTTTTAAATTCAGATTGTTGAGAAAAAATAAATTGTTTTTGGCGATACGTGAGGATTATAAGTGCCTTTATTTTGGATATTCCCCGAATACTTTGAAACATTGTAAACATTTTAAATATTTGAGATTTTGAATATTTTTAATGTATGGAATGGTTCAGTGAGTTGTTGGTGTCATTTTGGAGCGCCGACGCTGAGCTGTTACTCGCGACAAACCTGTAAACCTATTTTTCAATAATGCGAGCGATTCGTGTTGACTTTGCTGTTCGATTCGACATGTTAGCGGAGCGAGAAGAGTAGTCGAAAATGAGGAATTAGATTTCGATTTGTTACGAATTTGAGTGTTCATATGGGAATCTGTTAAATGTTCTGTTCTGTATTAAGAATAGCGGTAAAAGTTATGGAAGTGGGGCCAATTTTTCTTATCCAATGATGAGAATCGGTTGAGGACGAGCAATGAAGCAATAAAGCCCAGTTGGCTTGGGAGGTTGCTTTGCTTATTATTTATGGAGATACGTGGCTGTGATAGTTATTGGTGATAGTTATTGTTGGTATTAATTCATTAATATCCTTATAATATTAATATAAATATTCATTAAAAATGGTAAAAATTATCAGTAAAAAGTTAATCATTTAAAGGCTTTTAATAATTAATTTTGCGTCGATCGTCAAAAATGCTTTAAAAAATGCTTTAATTAGACATTGTGATTAACACGCAGAAATTGAGATATCTGTTTGTAGTAAGTGATCGCGAATCTTGCGATAAGTGAGGTCGAATCCACGTCGTGTTTGCGCTCACGCGAAATATAATAAATATAGCTAATTTGAAAGATTAGAGAGAGATTGGTGATATCATAAAATTTGATTTATATTTATCGAAATTCTTAGGTTTTCACAAATTTGATACTGAAATCTGTCATTTTATTACTGAAATTTGGAAGCATTAAGATTGTTTTATTTTTAGAGGTCAGAGGTTAGACGTATTCAAAGTAATATATTCGTTATGCTCAGAGTAATCAATAGTGATTAGAAGTGTAGTAGTTTTTTGAAAGCGTATTTGATAGCATAGGTGTAGTAATTCGTATTCCATGAATTTCGTTTGAAAATAGCTGTATTTTATAGCTGTCTTCTCGAATAACGATTGTCCAATGATGTTAAGAAATCGTCAAATTTTTTTTTTTCAGAAATTGATGATAAATGCGTTTTCCTTTTTGCATACCATTTGGTTGCGGTTCGGGCATTGATATACTCGAGAAACGCCAATATAATTTGCATGAAGTGCCGCAGGACGTCAGTCGAAGTGTGCATACTTTGGAGGAGATTTATCTTGATGGCAACCAAATAAAAACCATCCCGGATGTTGGTGATTATCTTCAAATTTCGAGATATTTTCTAAAATTCTTGTTTGTTATAAGAGAACCATCTTAGAAACACAGATGTAGAATTGTCTTTAAACATTGATATATTTCATAAAAATCTATGTTCTTTTAATTCTTTTAATATTCTCTTTTCTCTTTCGGGCTCTAACTTATGGTGCATGTCCCTTATCTCTTTCGATACCCTCAGATACCCACTTGATTTTTTCTTTCGCACTTTTAAAATCTGTTCTTGAAGCTTTAGATGGCAAAAAAGAGGAGTAAAGAGGTCTTACAGGTGAGGATGGTTGTAAGGGGTTCTAAACTCGTCGCTTAAGGTAACACTATGGTGCTTAAATCATTAATTCATGAAGTTCAAATAAGAATATGATCGTCCCAGTAATGGCAAAAAAATTTAAGAAGAAATATCGAGGATGCGATAGGGAAATATAGCGGATGCCGAGGTGAGATTCTTGTTAGATTTGAAAGGTTTGTAAGATTGCACAGGAAATTACCAACACGTTTAGGTAAAACGACACATTGGAGGTGGAAAGAATTTTAAAAGGTATGGTCGGAACCATGGTGAATATTCCATCTCATTTTTCTTCTAGGATTGAGAAAAATTTTTATAGTAACAAGAATTTAAAAATTTTAAAAAATTTAAAAAGAAATTTCTATAGTAGAAAATAAAGATTTAAGGCTATTTCCTAATGTTAAAATGTTTTGCCATTGGTCATGGTTTATTTTACAAATATATTCTTTTAAATATCATTTAAAGCTTTTTTCCTCTGAATATAATTTTCAGGCTGTTTTCCGATGCCACAAGTTGAGGATATTGTCTTTGGGCCAAAATCGTATTCAGCGTTTGCCTTCGATGGTTCGATCGCTTTCAGCTCTCCAAGAATTGACAATCGATGACAATGGTCAGATTTCTTAGGCTTTTTCGTTATTGGCCATTTAATCTAATCATAAATAATGTTTAAATCAGTTAATTTTGATTAGGTTTATTTTTATGCAATAAAAATGATGATGCGTGTTTATTTAAATGCTGCAAATTAATTATTTAATTAAGTTATTACTTCGCATTTTTGCAGAATTAACTGATATACCATCTGAAATCGCTGAATGTAATAATTTACGTGTTCTTGATATTCGTTTAAATCCATTATCGAGGTCAAACTTTATCAGATTAATCAGATTTTTTCAAGATTCACTTTTTATATAATCTATCATTTTTCCTCATTTTTGATCAATTTTTCTACAGAAATATTTCTACAGGTTTCCCGATAATGTCTTAAAAATTATTTCATTAACTCATTTGAACCTCTTTGAAACCTCATTAACATATTTGCCACCTGATATTGATCTCTTGGTGAATTTGCGCTCGCTAGATGTTAGTTTTTTTGAATCATGGAAATGGATCTTTTTTTAAATAGCCTTATTAAATTTTAAAAAGAATTAATGAATTGAAGTTTTAAAAATTGATTTTTTAAATTAAAAAATTGATCGGATTAACACAGGTAAAAAGTATTTGCTTATGAAATTTAGAAAAATTTAGAGAATGATTTACAAAATAGAAAAAAAGCAGGAAAAAATTTTGTATATAAGAATTTCCAGGTAAAAAAATTTTTTCAACTAACTTAATATTATATTATTCATTTTAAGGCTATTTAATCCTTTATCCCTTTATCTTTAATTTTTATCAAATTTAAATTTTGTCAAATTATCAAATTTAATTTTGTTGATTTTAATTTTTTTTGATACATTTGTTTGAATTTACATTATTTCATCATTTATTTTCTTATTAACTTGAGGTTCGGGAAAATCAACTGCGCACATTACCAGCTTCTATTGGTTCACTCAGAAATCTTCATCAACTTGATATTGGTCATAATGAAATCTCCTTTTTGGTAGGCATCTTGGTTTTTTTGCTGATTTTTTTCTTTTTATTTTTGCATACATCAAAGCTCTATCATTCAGTGGCTCTTTCTGGCTTAAGTTAAAGCGTTCTAGTCAATTTAAATATTATAATATTAAAAATTTCATATTTTAAGCCGTTTGAATTAGGATCATTGGAAAATCTCGAAGAATTTTATGCAGACAACAATTTCCTCACCTCTTTGCCTGAATCGTTTATCCGTTGCTATTCATTGCGAGCTATCGATCTGTCACATAACGAAATTATTTCATTACCGAATGAACTAGGTTGCTTGGAAAAATTAAGTGAGTTGATCGTATCTGAGAACAGTATTACAACTCTCCCGAATTCCATAGGTATGTTACTTGGTTATTTGATTAAATGCAAATTGAAGCGAATTAAAAATAAAATAAATTAGTCAGTCAGTAAATTAAGTAAATTAAAATGATTTCTACATTCTACATTCTACATTTTCTACATTCTGTAATATGCAATCTATTTTCAGGAAAACTTAAGAATCTAACAATACTGAAAGCCGAAATGAATAATCTTACTGAGATAACACCAGCACTTAGCAGTTGTTCATCGCTCGTTGAGCTCTATCTTTCGTTTAATAACATTGAGGCAAATTTTCCTTTATTATCATTAATTTTTATTTCCTTTATTATCATTAATTACTTCCTACTGGTTTTGCTTTTTTTGGTTTTATTTTTTTTGTTTTGAATTTTTTTTATTTTTGTTTATCTCAAATTTTTCAGTTTCTACCATCTTGTATTGGTAATCTTCATTCACTTAATGTATTGTATATGGATCGAAATAGCCTGAATGAAATACCATCAACAGTACGTTAATTTTAATTTTACTTACATGCAAACTCACAAATTGAAAATAGATTGGATTTTCTACTTCTTTTAACGAAAGAAAAGAGCACCAGTTTTGTAAGCTATTATCAAGGAGTGATTCTAGTTGAGTGTCGCATGGAAATTGAGATAAATCTACACCCACCTAATTAAGTCTGCAATGTCTGTGTTATTTTTAAAATTGTAGCATTATAAAATATTATGATGAGAAATTTTAGCTGATTTGGTTTTGTATTTGAATAGATTTGATTATATTTAAAGTACCAAGCATTTTTTAAAAGTTATAATCGAAAATATTTCATTTTTTATTAATTCTTTTTTTCATCTTTTATTCCTGTTATATGAATTTTATAGCACTATTTTTAAATTTCTGGTTAAAATAAAAATTTATAAATTATTCAAATATTTATGTGATAAATTTATATATTTAGATCGGATGTCTTTCCAAATTGTCCATTCTTACACTTCGAGCTAATCGTATTCACGATTTGCCTCTAGAGATTGGACGTTTGACTAATCTTCGAGTTCTTGATATTTGCGACAACTGTCTGCCATATCTACCATTTACTATGACTGTTCTCTTTAATCTTCGTGCTCTTTGGTTGTCGATCGACCAAGTTCGCATTCTATAGATTTTTTTATTTTCAGTTTAATCCAAAATGAAATTTGTTTTTCTGTATTGTAAATAGTTTTTTATCTATTAAGAGAAATATGATGATTTTTTTTAGGTTACTCCTCTCATCCCCTTGGAAACAGCTCAAGATCCTGCAACTCGTGTTAAAGTTCTGACATGCTATTTATTGCCACAAGGAAAATGTCAAGGTGAATTGGATTTTAATTTCTGTTTTCATTTAGATTTTCATTTGATGCTAATAATCCATCTCTTTCAGAAATGTTGCTGAAACACAAACATGTTAATCGAAGTGGGGTGGTCAACTTCAAAGATGATATTGGTGAGTCTGAAATTCGTGAATCTGTGTTCCAGCGCCGTGGCACTCCGCATCCAAAATCGCGTAATCGTTCTGGAATTTCTCGAAGACACAGCATCGATGGCCGATTTATTCGTCATGTAGAAGATGTATTTGTTTTCTTTAAGATATTTTTTTTTGTTTTCTTTTTTTTTTTGTCTTAGAGCTTTATATTCTGTTCTGATTTGTAATTTTTTTTCCTTCAAAAATATGGTTCGAATTAGAGTTCTCAGGAAAGTGATAAGAACGCCGAGTCTTTGCGAAGGAAAAGTGTTGGCGATAATCCATCTTGTGAGTCAGCAAATAAAGTGGATCTAAAGCATAAAAATATGCGCTTACTTCAGGAATTATCGAAACAGCCTGTTTGTTCATTTATGAATTTGGTTCTATATTTAAGTATTTCATTGATCTAGTCGGTTTTTCGAGTCTTAATTTTATTTATTTGAGTTTTTTAAAATTTATTTTTAGTAGGTATATTGAAGTTTTCTGAAATTTTGAAAGAGTTAGGTCCCATTCATATTTGAATTTTTAATTATTTCCAGTTGTTCTTGGAAAAACAAAAACAATCAGCTAATGCCGAATTATCAACAACTGTGCTTAATATTAAACTAAAGAGAGATCCCGTTATAGGCTTTGGTCTTTCTATTGCTAGAGGGCGAGGAGCTGAACCTTATAAAGTTCTTTTCTATTTTATATTGTTTCGTTTTTTTTTTTATTATTTTAATTTTTCTGAGTGCCATGTATTTGAATTTAATTCATTATTTTTTCTCATTATTGATTCTGTTTCTTTCATATTTTAATAGAAATTTGGTCTTTTTAAAAGGATAAGCTAAAATCTGCGAGAACGGTAAAATACTTGAGGACTATATTATTTTTTACTATTAGAAAATTGAAATTTTTTGGTGAAACTAGTGAAAACATATGAATTGATAAAAACACTTTAATCGAAAAAATAGCGTAGTTTACCCAACTATGCGCAATTGCGCAAGTTTATAAATACTTCTTTAGAAGTCTTTGGAAATAAAAAAAGATAGTCGACTCCTTTTCTAAATGTTCTCGGTTTTGGATATGTCAACTGCACATAACTGTTGACCAATTCAAAGAAGAAATAGTAAATTGCCACATATGCTGAAAATGGGATTTTCCGGCCAAGATTGTGGATTTCGTCTATTTGTATGGTCACTTGAGTGTTATTCTGAAGAACTACTATCACTTTGCAATGAATTTATAGTTGAAATTGTTTAGTGCAAATTGTTTCTGGAGCATTGCATCTATTACTGCTATTATAATTATAGCCAAATAGGCCGCTCCATTGCCTTCTTCATCATTATAAAAAAATCATTGCCATGTAGTTATAAGGGCAGTGCCAGGCGTTTCATAGCAACAGTGAATTCTTTGTCGAATTTTCCGAGCTTTAATGTATTGCTTAAGAATGGAGCATTGGTTAAGAACCAATTTGATATTACTAAATAAAATCCATCTCATTTATGGTCCATTTATGTCAACAGTTTATTGTGCGCAAGCAAATATAAGGGAATTCATCAGCAATCAGTTTCCAACTCATTTTTTGCTTATCGTAATGGCTCTGAATAAGAATGGTTACAAAATGGTTTTGCATAGGTCATTTTTTTCGTAAGCCCGTTGGTATGTTTGCTTTGAATCTAATTCGCTGCTATATTTCCCATCTACGACGGTCGATTTGCCTTGTGAAGAAATGCATTTTCTGGTGTCTAATTGCTCTAAGAAATTTTTGAGTACATTATATCCTATTGTAATACCGCCTATCTTGTTTTATCAAATACATCAGAATTGCACCACTTCACCACTCTCTGTGGCTTTGATGCATATCAACTGATTCATTATTTCATTGGTATTTAACTATTCTCTTGATCTATATTCTTTATTCTTTAGGCCCTTCTGTCCTATATTTTTAGTTTATTACGAATGATTTTGAATTTTACAGGAAGGAGATTCTGGTCTATTTATATCACACATCGTGGAAAATAGTCCTTCAGCATCAGCCAATCTTCAAGTAGGCGACAAATTAATTTTAGTGAATGGCGAAGCTGTCGCTAATAAATTTCAGCATGTGAGTATTTTAATTTTGTGATTTCCAACAATGCCGGTAAATTAAACCATAAAAAACAGTTTTTTTCATATACTAGAATTAAAATTAGAACTAGAATTTTTCCATATATTAAAATGTTAATTTTTAATTTTTTCTTGCTTTATTTTTAATTTGTTTCTATTTTCACTAGTTATAATTTTATTTATTCTTTATTTTAGGTGGTTGCTGAAATGATGCAAAGTAAAGATCCATTGGAACTGGTCGTGCAGCGAGGTTGCACGGTTTGTTTTTTTTAACCTATTTTTACCTAAATTTTCATTTCTCACATTTTTTTTCCTTTATTTTTTTCTCATTCATTCGCCTTGCAACCATATTGAGTGTAATTGTATTTGGCTTGCCAGTTAAATAATAGGCTTCCCATATTTATTTATTAAAATAAAACGTTTAAAAGTGGGATATTAATTTTTAATGTCTTATATCCTTGTTTTTTGATTGCTTATCAGTTATTTATTATTTAAAATAAAATAAAATTTTTTTAAATAAATAATACAATTAATAAATAATTTTATAATTAATTTTAAATAAATGACTTAGATGATTTTAGGTTGAAAGTTTCGACAGTTTACTAGATTCACCTGTCTTGAGACATAAAGAAATCTCTACAGTAGAAATAGTTGCGGCATCTTTAAGAAAAGGCTTTGATGGATCATTTGGAATCACGATCGATTCCGCTGACGAACCACCAGATAGCGAACATATTGTTATATCCTCATTTGATAATAGTAGCGCTCACACCAATGGATCAATTAAAGTTGGAGACCACATTCTATCGGTTTATTTTTTTACACATTCATTTTATATTTTGAGCAGAAAAGACTATTTATATCATGCATTCTGTGATTTTTTTTCTATTTATATTTAAAATTTGATAAGTATTTTGCAGATAAATGGTCATGTTTTGAATAATAAATCATTAGAATTTGCCAGATCACTAATATATGATGAAACTATTACCGATTTGTTTCTGGTTTTGGAGCGTCCATCATTTTCTTTTCGATCGAAGCAATCGCTGAATTCAATGGAATCAAAAATTTGTGAAAAATCGTCTACTTCAGGAGTGGATTCTGATGAATTTTCAGTTGCTCCTACCAAAACAAATGCAGCTGATTTTCACAGTAATATGAACCAATTTTTTCATGAAAATAATTTAGTTCGCGAGGTTAGTCTTTATCGTAAATATCTATCTCAAAATTCGCTATGTCTTTATATGAGAAATAAAGGCTCGTCAATGGCTGGCTTTTCTTTATTCTAGTCCTACATAATTTGCTTTTATTCTTTTTAATTCTTCCAATTTTCTCAAACTCAAAGGAATGAATTCTCCTTCAAATATAGATTCTGAATTTGAACTTTTTAGGCGAAGAAAATAATGCCACTAAATTTGCAAGCGCCTGCTATCAAAAGAACAAACCGCCCTCCTGTACCACCTAAGCCAAAAAATGCCATCACTTTTCCGAACACATTGAGCAAGCAGTCTAAGGTAAATACTAATTCCTTTGGAGGCTTCTCTTGCTTAATTGCAGATGCTTTTTTTATATTTTTTACTACATTTTTCTTAATTTTTCCTTGATTGGTTACAGAATAGTGAACAAGCTGATTCACGGGAACCAAACAGAATTTTAAATTTCTCAGATTCTGCAGAAATCCAGCTTCCAGGTTGGTTTTTCTTAAGTTGAAATTTGTAAATTTTAATTCTTGTCATGAGAGATTGATAGATTTAATGAAATATATAAGTATATTAAGATGATGATAAAGTCAATGAAGATGAAAACTGTGGTGTTTTAAATAATCAAAAATATGGAATTAATTCTTTAGCTCAGATCAAAATTGCTTCGTCTGCAAGCAGTAGTGATATAAATTCATTAGGAGCAAAGGCGAATAGCAGTTCGTTATTGGGTAAATTGTGTTTTCAATTATAAAATATGAGATTTTTCGTAATTTTTTAATAAAAACTTTGAAAATCTATCAAAAAGAAAAATTATGTGAGCAGTTGATATTGAATGAATCTAATATTTTATTAAAATACTTGCATTTCCTCCTTATTTCTTTCAAAATCTTTCAACAGCTCTTTCATTTCAATTTAATTTACTGATCCTCGATCCTTATTCATGCCAAAGAGACTGGAAAATTTTGTCTTAATGCATTTTATTTTACTCCCTTATTTAACAAAAAATAACTGTGTAACAGTGGCCGCAAGATGGATTAGTTAAGGTTTATTGTGACATGATCCATAAAAAATAAGATGAGTGAAACTTGTAATATTTCTCAACAAAATGATTAGAATTAGGATTCTAGATGGACAAGTAAAAATAATGAGTTGATATGATCAGTAAAATGTAAGAGACAGCAATGGCCCGCCGGTCAAGAGTATTAAAGGACATAAGATGGAAAGAATTCTTTGAGGCCAAATTTAACCATAATGCGCCATTTGTTACCTCTGGTAGCTGATACTTTCGCTGAACCATACGCTTATAACTGCGAGTCTCTGACAGAAGTAATATCCATTATCCACAAGCTTAAGGCCAATAAGACTCCGGAAGAAGTTGTTCTTCGGTTCAAGATGGTCTGAACTTTTTAAATCTTGTCCATCGTCCTTCATAACGCACCTTCAACTAATATATTTTCTGGTATGACAAAAGGAAATAATGCCAGAAAACTGGAGCAAAGCAATTCTGCTTCTAATTCTGAAGAAAGGTGATAGGACGTACTGCAATTATCGAGGAATCAGCCTACTGGACATCTCCGAGAAAATTTTCGCTTCTCTTATGCTAAATAGATTCATGCAAACGAGATAGCAGAATGCATCCTATTCAAGTTGGATTCAGATCAGGACGAGGTTACGCTGACCAGATATTTACGCCAAGAAAGGTGCTGGAAGATCGCTTCAAATACCAGCAATCCACCGTCACTTGCTTCATCGATTTTGCAGCTGTCTTCGATCCGCTTGATAGAGGAGCGCTCTGGGAAATGATGGAATGTGATGGTGTCCCAGAGATGATCATTCGGCTCATAAAGGCATTTTATCAGCATACTCTGACACAGATCTTTGTATACGGGGACTGACAGACTCGAAATAAAAACTGGTGTCCGTCAAAGTTGTGTCCTTTCCCCCTACAATATTCAACTATGCGATAGACTGAATTATGGGCATCGCTTGTCGGCACTCAAGAGGTATGCAGGTAATCAGTCCAGAGCATCATATCACAAATCTTGAATAATAATGCTAGATAACGTATCAGGAACCGAGAATTGGATTCGAGGTCAATATAAATAAAACGAATGTCTCTTTTCCTCTTATATACAAGAAGCTGATTAAATGCCTCTTTTTTTAAATTCATTCCCGGTTGAGGAAGTGCCTGATTTTAAATATCTTGGATCCATTCTATTACCAAATGGCCAAGCAAAAGACGATATTACAATTCGGATCACGGCAGCTAGAAATTCTTCCGATTGACGAAACCTTTATGGAGCCATCGTTAAATTACCATAAAAGCGAAAGTCCGTATCTATATAGCCGTGATTCGTTCGATCTTGTTATAAATTAAGAAGTTATCTGCTTTGACCATTCTTGTCTAAGGTACATTTTACGAGTCCGTCAAGCGGATAAAATATCACATGATCGCATCCACCTTCATTCAAATACCATTTGTATTAATTAATAATGTTATTATCACAGAGCGCCTTCGCTGGTTAAGGCACGTTCTCCTTATCCACCACAGGAGTTTGCTTATATTTCATTAAACTGTGTGACGAGTTGCGTCAAAAGCGAGGTGGGCCAATCAAGTCCTGGACTGATAGGTCAGAGAAGATTTTGAATATATAGATGGACCAACAATATATGGACTTAGACGATGGAAAAAAGAATAGCTTCTATTACTGTCGACGATAGCATCAGACCGCGTCGCATGGAAGCGTCTTGCCCTTATAGCCATTGGAGTCAGCCTAACCAGTAATGGTGAGAGTTGTTAGAAGAAGAAAATGGGCTGAAAATATATTTAATAAATATATTTGTCTGGACAACATCCAGTTTCACAATATTTCATTTTATACCTTTTTAATTTCCAAACTTTTACATAAACATGATACTCTCATGCATGAAAGGAAATCATCAAAATTTTATCTTTATCTTAGATACAAATTGTTGCAAGTGGACATTGGCTGAAGGTTGCTAATTGTATAATGGAGTAAATTCATGAAATAGTAAACTTTTATTTTCTAAATATTTTTGTATTATTTTACTGCTTTTGTTAACAAACAGTTGATTAATTTTTCCAAATTAAAAATGCTTTAAATTTACTTTGAATCGACTAAATTGCATTATTTTTTTAAATTTTTTTATTTTTATACATTTTAAATTTTCATTAAATTTTAGATTTAATAAATTTTGACTGATAAATTGATAAATTGGTAAATTTTTATTTATCAAGCTATTTAATCAAGGATTATTCAGCTACTCAAGATTATTTAAGATTGATAAATCGCTACTCGAATCAAAAAATTTTTTATGGAAATTCTAGTAATACTTCAAAAGATCCACCGACATAAGTTAGGAACAAGTACAAATGTTTAGAATTTATTTTAATTTTGTATTGTTTTTGTATTTTTTTTGTATTTATTTGTTTTCAGTTTGTAGTTATTTTGGATTCGCTCATCAGATGATCTGTTAATTTGCTTTAAAATTCCAACATATATAAACTTCTAATCAAATTCTTATCTCCTTATCAAATTTTCGAATTTAATTATAATAAGTAACATCTATTTTTATTAATGCCTTTTTGGGGAATATCTGATTGAAAATAGCTCTATTTTTCCTCATCTTTTTTCTTGTATTTCATTTTTTATTTTTTAGTGCCTTTGTATTATTTAGTTATTGGTTTTTGATTTTCTTCTACAGCTGGTGTTGTTGTCAAATTTTTTGTTTTTTGTTCTTCAAGAGTATTTCAGGTTTCAGAAAATTGTTTTCGCTGCTTATCCAGAAATTTTAGCATATTAATTAGGCACTAAATAAGAGTCTCAGATATTTCGATATCTCAATCACAAATTGGAATACATCGGTGGTCCTTAACTGCATTAACCCATTTTATTGTTTGTGTATTTGGGAATATTTGAGAATTAGGTGAAAAAGATTCATTGAGCCATTGGTTTACATAATAAAAATTCGCTGTTCTTAATATTTATTTAAAAAATTTAAATCTTGTTGCATTAATATATAAAATTTATGTTTATCCTCTATATCCTCTAAACTTTTTGTTGTTATTGTTTTTAGTATGTTTCTTAATTTGTTGTTTATGGATCTTGTTTATTTGTTTATGTTTTTGATTTTATTTACTGATTTAAAGTCATCTTAGAAGATTGTACATTTATATATTAGAATTCTCATAAGACAATCTTAGATTTTTTTTGTGAACAATCTTAGATTTTTTTTTTTAGCATAAATTTTTCAAGCTTGTTTATTGGTATAAAAATTTTTATCCAAAATTCAATTCTTCATGCTATAAATTTTCAGTGTTTATTTATTTATTTCTTCTGTTCAACTTGTTATATAAAAATTTTTAGTAGTATTCTTCCACTATAATCTCATAAGAATTTGTGGTCATGATCATCCTCAACTTCGAGTCCTCTGTTAGAGACCTGGAGGCTTGAGGGTCGTGCGCATTATCTTGGTGGTTCTTATTAGTGCGCTCTTCTTGGATAGAATCTAGTATCTGCTGAAGCCACTTTTCAAGTTTAGAGGATCACAGTTCCATGTGCTCAAATTATATGCTAATATCTGATTCTCGTCTTCTACCACAATATCTCGTTGATTGGCCAGTTCTCATTTCACTTTTTAGTCGGGAAAATTCCACAGAATCTTCGCTTTATTATCCTCTACGATTTTCTGGGGAATCTCCCATTTAGTCTTGGGAGGATCTAAGTGATATATCGAGATGTTCCTATAGATGTTGCTTGGTTATGCCTTTCAATGTATATTGTTCCTGCTTGCATTTTACATCATATCAATGTTGGGCTGTTTCTGGGGAATTTTTGCGCAATTTACACTAAAAGTCTTGTGTAGTGTGGTAAATCCTTGTTTCGGTAGATCTTTCGGTAGTACTTTTTCCTATGCTGCTATAATCAATGCCTCAGTGCAACATTTTTTAATCCGGCCTTCTTCAACCACTGGTAGGATTGTACAGTGTCTGTCGATGAAGCAATGTGGTTTGCTATATGTCCTTATGGTAGGTCTACCCCATTTGTCATTATTACTTTTCCTCCATTGCCATTCGGCCAAGTTTTTCTAACCCTAATGACATCCCGATGTTCTCGCTGTAGATCCGAGTTAAATGAATAAGCGAGCCAATGTTTCATTCACTTTTCGTGTATAACTTGATGTCATCCATGTAGAAAAGATGGCTGATGGTGGTCGTTTTTGACATCCCTATTCGTTTTTGGTGGTTACCTGATTGAGAGAGTTTAGACCTGTTCACAACAATGGGGGAATGTGTCGTCTTGATATAAGCCGCACTTGATAGCTACTTGTGCAAACTATTCTTTCAAGTATCATTTTCCACAGTCCCATTGAGCTCTCAATGAACGTCTTTAGAGTCCTGTTGATTTAGACCATAATGCCAGATATTCACAGATCCATATGTGGCGCATTGAGTTCCTATTGTCAGTCCAAGTTGTACATAGACTGGTCTGCAGAGATTTTCATATTTTGCCTAGAGCTACTACCTCATCTATGAGGTGTTTGGAGTCTCTGGTGTTTTTCTCAATGTCTTTTTAAACTGGCTCATATGGTCATGAAGTTTGTTGGTGCCCAACAGGACTTTCCACAGGTTATTGGTCGACGGCGCTGTTTTCTTATAATAGTCTTTCATGATCAATACCGTTTTTCCTTGTATTAAAAAGTATGGGTGAGAGCCTGTCACAAACAACTGAGTCGTTTATATCGTTAGCTGCTTATGAACCATTATCAGTAGATGTAAATTATATTCTCATCAGGGTGATGTACAGTTTTTTCCATTTTTGAATCTCTTTTGGATGTGGCAACTAAATATGGTTTCTCCTGTTGTTGGCCTCTGTTTTTACCATATTATTGCACTGATGTTGAGAGTACACCTTGAGCAGTTCCTTGGAGGATAGGCTATTTGTTTTTTACTCTAAATACTTCTCCTCTAGTATATCCCCCTAGCCTAGTGGCCAATGCTGTAGTAGCCTTTGTATTTTTCCAGCATTTGGATTCTTATTCTTCACACATTTCTATAATTCTGTCAGCTAACTTTGTGGTCTGCTGTTGTTTTCCAGTCTCTCTTTCCGTGGAGTGAATTGCTATTCTTTTTAATTTCAATCTCCTAATACTTCGAGAATTATAGAGCTATGCCAATTCATTAGCTTCTGATGTAGCGGTATATAAAATTGTCGCGAGGGCTCTATTTGCATCTTATATTACAGTTGGTGCATCACTTCCTTCCCAGCTTAAAGCGTGCACATCTCTTCTTTCCCTTTCTTGTTCCCAATCTGAGGTGCAGCGCAGGTAGTGCATCACTTGCTTCCCAGCTTAAAACGTAGAATTGACCCATCTCCAACTGAAAGAATAGTTTTCTCTTTCTTATATTGAAGACATTGAGCAGTAATTGTTTCTCAGTTGGTGTAGACTAGGTCTTTTTTCCATCCACAATACCTTCGCATTAAACTCCTTTGATTAGATCTACTATTATTATAGCAGTTTATCAATTTCAGATTATCTTGTCTTCTCTATGTATGCTTTGTTCTAGTTGCCCTTTCAATGCCACTTGGCCCGCTTAACTCGTATGCCACACTCTCATATTGAGCTAGTGCATTAAGAGAATCTTTTGCAAGGATCTCGTGGAAAAGTAAAGCCTTTGGCTGTAACTGCAGCCAGAATCAGTCGATTCAGTCGATTTTTGTGATTGTATTCTTTGGATAATTGAAATAATATTATATAATTGTTTAAAAAATATAGAGTATTCCTTGGACTATTCGCTATAAAATAAATAAATAGAAAAAATCGTTCTATATTTTTTTTAATAATTAAAATTATTTAATTATTATTTTTCACTGAAGTATACATTTTTGAAAATTGTTTTTTGCGAATATTTACAGCATTTATCGCCATCAAATTGAAATAAAGCGTTTCTGCGGATCGTTTTTGTTATTAGTAAATTATAAAAATATCGAATGACTTCGTAACTTACGGTTGCAAAATATAAAATGTACCGTTTAAAAATCGTCATATTGCTATTTATCTTATCGCGTAGGTGATTTCAAGTTTTGACGATTTCATTGCAGTGCAGTAAGATTATTTTCACCAAGTGTGTTGGTGAGTGCCGTTGGTTTTAGGCGAATCACTTTTAATAGACTTTATCACCATTATCATTTTCTATTTTCTATACAGAGTGTTTAATTAATTGCTCTTGAAATAGTGGTCTGCCACCATCCAGGTTTTCCGTTGGCAAAATGATTGACACCAGTCGAGAATCAAGAATGGCTCAACAACATTTCATTTCATCGGGCAGCAGCGTCGTTGAAAGAACTGCGAAAGAAAAAGAGATTGAATAGCTCAGTGGGTTGCTCAGTCAAAAGCACCAGTACTAAGATTTTACGTCCAGCAGGAGCGACTTACCTGTGTTTCTATCACTAAGTGACTATCCGGAAAAAATATTTGATCCAAGCAGGTGAAGCCTGATTAGCAATGCTTTTGACTGGAATAAGCTCTAAGGAGAAAACACGGGAATAGGAATGGCAGAACTCAGGTTTTTTTAACCATCGATTGCTAATTAATTGTTTCTGCATAATTTTACGGACAGTATTCTAGCTTCAGTTGTTGTTTTATTTTTAGATGAAACTACCCACTTCGCTTTTTTTATTTCGGCGATTTTTTGCCACTGAAATATCAGATAATTTTATTAAGAAGGAATATTATAATGATAACAAGATTGTGCGAATTATCTTAAATTCTCCTAAGAAAAGGTTATCATTTATCAGATTTGTCTTATATAATTACTTTTAAACCACTTACTAGCTAAATATTCAAATATATTTTTAAATATCTTTCGATTCCTTTATTAGAGAGGAGATTGTATCAAAATAAAGAAATGAAAGTGATTTTTGAGATTGCTGGCTTCAGAAATGCTTTATCACTGGAACTTATTCAGTCGCTCCATAAGGAATTAGCTGAAGTGAATGCAAATCCTACAGCTCGAGGTGTGATTCTTGCTGCAGAAGGACCTGTTTTTTCTTCAGGTCATGACTTAAAGCAGCTGGTATTATCTTACATTTCCTTATTTTCTTTAACCATTGCTTTTATTACTATTGTAATTATTGTCATTTCTAGTTATTTATTATTTTTTATATATTATTACTGCTATTAATCATTGCTAAATTATTAATTTTTATATTGTTATTATTAATTATTATATTATATTAATTATTCCATTGTATTTTTATTGGCTTTTTTTTTTCTTCTAACAGCTCCCACCATTGCTGATTAGGCTGGCTCCAATGGCTACAAGGGTAAGACTCTTCCAAACATCGCGTAGAATTATTTATTTATGAACTATTACTGTTGCCAAGGGCTCAGTGCGTTGCTGCTCAATTGGGAATGCCGATGCTGAGGTTCGAGGAGTAAACCTGTACAAGAATCCGGGTGATGCTGGCGACTCACCTGTATTTCCATCTCCAAAGGACTCCCTGACATATTTCTCAATGTGACAAGCCAGTAGAGCAAGCTTAACCAGTAATGGTGAGGACTCTTTAAAAAAAAAAAAAAACCTTGCTAGCTATTCCTACTATCACTTATCATTGTTATCACTTATTATTTCTATTGTTATTATTAATTATCATCATTATTATGATTATAATAAATTTGCTTTTTTTTAAAAACTTTTTATTATATTTAGAACAGATTTATTTAGCTATAAGCGACAAAAATACTTTAGGGAATTAAAGAATTTATGAAACAATTGTCAAGGAAAACATTTGAAAATTACAATATAAATGCGTTCAACCTCCGTTATTTTGGAAATTATAAATTTTCAAAAAATAGTTTGGTAATTATAAAATTTTAAATGATACTTTGATTAATTACTGATTTATACTGATAAGGACAAGAGACATTCAAAAATTAATATCGCATGTTTTTTGCTAAACTTTAAATTTTGCAGTATAATTCAGATGTTTCGAAAAATAAAGAAATATTTACGAAAAACACGGAAATGCTTACTTTTATTCAAAATATGGATATTCCTGTTATTGCAGAAGTAATGGTTTTTATTTTATTTCCAATCGGTTTTAGCAGTTTTTTTCTATAATTTTATTTTATTCTTTCCTGTTATTGTTATTGCGAATGTTACTGGCGATTCACCTATAAATCTACCGCTAAGTGGTTTTTATGATCCGACTAAGCACCAATGATGGTTGTGCATCGGTGGCCGAGTGGGTAATCACTGAGAATCAAACTGGGATTCAAATCCAGCCGATGCATTCTTCTTTGGGCGATAGTGTCGCCTAACAGAAAAAGCAAAGTAGAATGGTTCAGTGTATATAATTCAATACTGAGGTCCTATTCACGCCAGGAGTAAATCCATCCAAAAATATAATTCACCTTATTTTAGAGCTTTTTAACCATTACTAACAATTACTGGTTAAATTCGCTCCACTGGCTTATCGCAATTGAGCAATATGCTAGGGAGTCTCATGGCGATAGAAATATAGGTGAATCACCTGGATTTTGTACAGGTTTGCTCATGCAGGGAATCAAACCTTAGCATCGGCGCTCCCAGTTGAGCAACAACCCACCGAGCCATTTTCTCCCCTATTTTAGAGCCAATGCCTTTTTAAAGTATTAAATTTTATATTTAAATTTGACGAACAAGGAAATTCGTTATTCTTTAATATTTTAGGTAAAAGGTTTTGCGACAGCAGCAGGGTGCCAATTGGTTGCAACATGTGATATTGTTATTGCTGGTCAGAATGCTTTGTTTTCAACACCAGGGTTTATTTTCTATATTCCCTCTTCATTTTGTCGTTTCGTAATAAATTTATTCGTTTAAAGTTTTTCGAACTTCCTTTTAAAATAGAATAATTAATTACCAGGAATAACTTTCATCTTCAGATGTCATTTAATGGTAGCCTACTTTCTCCAACTGCACTCACCATTCCTAATTATTTGTGGCCTTTGGTTTGCATTAAACCGCTTTGGGCAACAAAGCATAGATATATCTCCTATATCGCCCAGATTTCACTTTTCACTCATGGATTTATTCGAAAAATAAAAATCATACCCATTTTTCTCGATTTTAGTCGAAGAAGCCACAAACCGCAATTCAAAAGTGTTCAAAAGACACAATGATCAAAATTTCCAATTTTATTTTTTATTCCAAATTGAAGTATGATTAACACAACGATGCAAAAAATTATAAAAGTAAATGATTAAACTACATTTCATAAAATCTCATTTCAGAGCGGAGGTAGGTCTATTCTGTTCAACACCTGGAATAGCTCTTGCTCGTGCTGTGCCGACAAAGGTGGCAATGGATATGTTATTAACCGCTGAACCGATTGACGCTCAAAGTAATCCAGTCCAAAATTCTTGATTTTAATTCGTAAAATTAAAAGAGAAAAATTGTATGAATTAAAAATTGTAAGAGAAGACACATAGCTGTCAGGTAATGTATAATGAATTTCTAAAGGAGCCATGCAAATTGGCCTCATATCACGAATAGTCGTTGATGATCACGTTTCGAGTGAAGCCTTAAAAGTGGCTACAAAGATTGCAGCCCTTAGTCGCACTGTTATTACTCTTGGAAAAAAGTTTTTTTATACTCAAACTCAATTACCAGTGATCGATGCCTATAAGTTATTTTTTCGACTTTACTTTTGCTTTTGCCGTTTTTTAAAATACTTTTGATAAGTGGAATTAAAGAAAACCATTAAAACCTAAAATTTAGATCATATTTATTTTATGAGCCATCAACCTTGCATTTTTCAATGTTCATTTCAATTTGATAAGTTTATATTTTTTTATATTTTTTCAATTTCTGTAATCAACTGTTCTCTATATTCTGATAGCCAACTCATCTGGCCTAACCAGTAATGGTACGAGTTATTTGAAGAAGAAGAAGAAAAGTTTTACAGACTTTATAAATTTGTGAATTTTGTTGTCTCAATGTCTCAAATTTTAGAATGGGTGAAAGAATTATGATTGAAAATCTCTGCCTTAAAGATGCACAAGAAGGAATAGCAGCTTTTATTGATAAACGAGCTCCACGCTGGACACACACAAATGATAAAGTTTATTAGTCGCCTAAATTTTGTGATTAATTTATCTCGTTTACCGTCATATTTAATCTCCTAGAAGATTCTAATAAATTTTAAACTCAAATATTGTTGCTAAACATTTTCTACTTATTCCTCCTATTATATATTCATTTGAAATTGATAGTTTTAACACTCCTCTCATCCTTTTTATGTTCCATTGTACCAATTGTATCTGAAATAATTATTCCCAAATCACTTTTAAAAAGTATTAAAAAGCTTAAAAAAGTCTTGAAAACAATAAATTCTTTATATCACAGTTCCACAAAGATCGTTAGATAGTAGAAAGTTTCTACTTGTAGGCCGGAATTTAGTCGTTGATGATTTATAAAAAATGTGGCATCTTTCATTAGCATCCATTAGCATTAGTATCTTACATTTCTGATGAAAAACTGCTTTATTATTTATATTATATTTATTTGTTATTATTATTTTTTGCTCTCCTATTTTGTTTTGTTTTTCTTCTCAGCTAATTTTATTCTTTGCCTTTGGCAGGAGTGAACATCATAATTTTAGTGGTTTCTGAGGATCCATCTATCACTCTCTACCCAAACGATTCTATGGTGAAAGAATCCAGGTAGAAAATTGCAAAATTTTATATATCAGCAGCGAATTCCCTATTATCTTTATTTAAAATTGCATTAACCCGCTTATAACTTTATAAATGTAGTGATTATCAGGTAATGGTCTGTTAAATGCGAGAAATTAACTTCGACCTTAAAACAAATGCATTATTGAAAAATTCTATAAAATTTTGCCTAAAACTTTCGTAATTAAAGAAATAAAAGTAAAAAACAAGAGATTTTTTAAAAAAGAATGTATAAAACAAGTAATATTATTCACTTTAGATGTCGCAAATCATTTAAGTTTATCAAAAAGTTTACCAAAGCCAAAAAGCTATTTCCTATGGCGTTTAAATTGTAACCTCCTTTTTCCTTAAAAATCCAAACTAAAGTCGTATAATCATAATACAGTAAAAAACAAGATCTGATTAAAAAAGAATATATCTCTTATACATCGAGAATATATCTCTTTTATTTATTTAAAAAATGTTTCATCAAAAAATCTCAACAAAAACAATAAAAAAATTACATAGATAAAAACGCAAGCGTTTTATCCAATGCTATTGTTAATGAAGAGGATCCTTGAAAAATGATATTGAAGACGACTTTCTTCAATAGCATTATTCTTGAAGCATATTTTTTGGCATAGCATCTAAAGGAATCTACAACAATTTATTTTTTAATTGATTTCATGTAAAATTTTGAAACTTTATGCCTCTGCAGGAGCTTGGACTTGTCCATAGGCTTGTGTTTTGGCTTTCGCTTCAGCCCAGGTATGTGATTATCCCAATGTTGACATAGAGACTTAGGCGAATGCCAAATTTCAGTCCGAGGAATGGCAACGGATTTCGTTTTGGCCAAGGCTTATGATTAAACCAAAGACAACTCCTAGGCATAGGCCAAGCCTGAAGTCATATTCCAAGGCTTGGCCAAGGATTTGGCGGTGGCCAAGTTTTTGGCCAAGGCTTAGAATCAAACCATGAATTAATTCTAGGCATAGACCAATGATTTAGTGGTCGAATAGGTGATTGACGTTCACATCGAGAATATATCTCTTTTATTTATTTAAAAAATGTTTCATCAAAAAATCTCAACAAAAACAATAAAAAAATTACATAGATAAAAACGCAAGCGTTTTATCCAATGCTATTGTTAATGAAGAGGATCCTTGAAACACTATAGTCTC